AGGGGTAGTAGTATTCGAGAGAAAGTATTTATTTCTGTTTTTTTTTGTAAGAAAAAGTGAAGATAGTATCTATTGCCCTTTTTATAAAAAATGGACCGTTGGATGAATTGGACGCTTTTAATCTCCCTTGTCGCTTACAGTCACACAGGGTCGAAAACCCCACGTTGAACTAGCTCAACGGAGCTAGTGGGACATGGTCCCAGGACTTGTGTGGTACTGCCCTCAGTTGGTAAACCCATGCAGTACTGAAATGCAGACATTTTTTCAACAATAAATAAATAAAACTAAAATGCAGACATGAGCTCAAATATGGGGCCATTGCATGCACCCATCCCTTCCTGGAGGGTTCGCTACATTTATGGTGGGAATGTGTCATTGCCCGCTGTTTCTCCGGAATTTTTGAATTCTGTGTGGGCCCAGGCCTACTCTCTGGAGTCTGTGCCAGGTTTTTGGGACAAACATCTAGTCTCGTAAAAAAAAAAAAAAAAAAAAGGCCGAACCAACCCTTTGTTCAACAAACAACAAGCAGAGATAATAGCACAGATCTTCAGGATGAGAGCTTTTTTTATTTTTATTTCATTTTTCCAAAAACGAGAGCTTTTCCGAAGTATTAGGGTTGGTAATTAATTAGGGAAAATTTGTAATTATTAGCGTATTAGGATTAATGAGTAATTAGGAGATATTAAGTTTGGTAGTGCTAGACTCTGATTTTTTTCTGAACTGCATCAGCTTTCATATGACTACCTTCTTCCCCCGAATACAACGTACGGTCATTATAGCTGCATTTAGACTGAAAGATAGGCCAGATTCGGCTATAATGACCGTACGGGGGGAAGAAGGTAGTTAGTGGCAGCTAGGGTTTGAGCAATGTTGCCTGTTTTTTGGCTGTAGTCGGGGATGGGATTGGTCGGGAGTGCTTTTCCCAGCCCTGTATGGCTGCGGTTTATATGTAATAAGGGACGCCAGACCCCTTTTCTGGCATATAATGGAATGATGTCTTTCTTCTGGTAAAAAAAAAAAAAAAAGAAGAGACAGACGTTTCCTTCAAAAAAAAAGAAAAAAAAAGAAGAGACAGACGTCTCCTTACATCTAAACCTCATCTCTCTACTTTTTTTTTTTTTTTTTTTTAACCTCATCTCTCTACTCTAATCTCTCAATTCAAATTGTCTCTTAGGGCATACTCACACTAGCACGCATTTTCATAAAATGGCAAATTATAGGTGATTTTTTGGGTCACACAGGCTACATATTTTGCGTTTTCACGCAAATGGGCACATAAATGTCAGCAGCTCCGCGGGGCTACGTATTTTGCGGGAACCTCTGGGCCGAGGTCCCACTAGCAAAGAGGATCGGATCGAATGCCTGAATCTGGATGTGTTTTACGCAGAGATGCAGAAAAGCAGTTCAATCTCGATTTCCTGCACCTGTTTACAAACACGTCGAGATTCAGGCATTCAATCCGATCCTCTTTGCTAGTGGGACCACGCCCCTGGAGGTACCCCCAATAACGTATTTCTTTTAGGCCTGTTTCTTTCTGAAGACAAAAAAAAAAAGAATTCGACGTTTGGTGGGCAGCTCTCGTAAGAAAATACAAAAAAAAAAAAAAACAGGAAAAACTTCGAAAAAGGGATGCATTTTTATGCATCCTGCTGTGTGACCCCTCGGCCCGTATATTAATCGCATTCCTAGAGCAGGTAGAGACTGTGTCCTTTCTGTTTTGTGACGGTATACTTTTTGAGACCTGGAAGTGCCGTATAATCGCAAATTGGCTCACATATGCCAGTGTGAGTATGCCCTCTCCTCATCACAAAAAAAAAAAAAAGAAAAAAAAAAGAGACACTCCTCGGGCAGGGTTAGGCCATTTTTTCAAAGTTGCAGCGTGCGAGGCTAGCACTGCGCTACGTACGGTACGGCAGGTCTGTCCGGTACCGTAGCGACGGAGCGACGGGGGGGCCGGCGGGGGCGGTCGCTGGTCGGCGACGACTGCTACGCGTAGGTCCCTCCTTGGGCGCTTGACTCTGCCCCTGCCCCGATGCGGCGGCAGCGGCCATAGCTGGCCGTGGGCAGAGGAGCGTGAGCAGCTAGTGCGACGAAGAGGGGCGTGGACTGACAGGCATCGAAAGACAGGAGCGAAGAGTGGCGCAAGGCAGGCAAGGTAGGCGCGATGAAGTGAGATGGTGAATTAGCATGGACTGGCAGGCATCGAAAGACAGGAGCGAAGAAGTGATGAGCACCTACAGAAGGACAAGGGGTGAAGAGAGGGTCTCGGGAAGGAACCTGGAAACAGTGGCGGCAGCAGGCAAGATGGACATAGAACGGGAATACGTTTAGAAACAGAGTCATCAGGGCGCATGCAGTAAGGCGACGCAACAGGCAGCAACAGTCGGAGGCACGCAATCGATCAAGAGAGCCGCCTTCCTCAGGGGCCTCGGTGGGGAACCCCCCCGAGGAGGAAGCCGGCTGAAGATCCAGCCCGAACGGAACGGGGTAAACCTGCCGACACCACACTCATAAAATACCCGCTGCCCGTCCTTACCCTCTATCCTCTACTTTGGTTTCTGTCCCTTTCAGTCACTCTCCCGACGTTTTCTAAACCCGACGTTTGTATGCATGCATGTTCTATGATTCGGATTGCATACTTTGCGTGAATGTTTGTGCTTCGTGCTGGCTTTGTTTCTTTGTTTCTTTGATAAGATATGATTGTCCCTTCTTCCTTAGCTATAAGCGGTCGTCTTTTGAGCCGGCTGTGTATGCTTTTTTGTTTTTTAGAGTGCTTTTCGATCTCTGGTATCGGCCTCTTCCTGGCAGAGTGTTTGGCGGATGATGCGATAGGATTCTTCCTCTCTTCCACTCTTCCTCTCTTCCTCTCTTCCTCTCTCTTCTTTAAAATATAAGTTGTGGCCCGCTCGACCCTTCTTTCGCTTTTCTTGATGTTTCATCGTTTTCATCTTTTTCGAAATCCGTTTCTTACACAGGCTGCCCCAGTCATCCCCGTCTTCTGTCCCTGCCCTCCCATCCGTTGACCTAGTCACCCCTGTCTTCCGTCCCTGCCCTCCCATCCTTTGACATGGGATTAAATAGACAGATTTTCAGCATAATCAATCAGGAGGGGAGCAAAGCTGGGACGAGTCCCGCGGTGTGTATGCATGTTGATGACCTCGACCTGTGGTCCGCTCTGACGTATGCACGAACGACCTCTTGAAATTCCTTCTAGAAGATTGCTTGGGAAAAATTTTGTTTTCTCGTTTTAAATCGTTCTGGACTGCGTTCTGGACAGCTCTTGATTGCTCCCCCTGTTACCCTGCGTACCTTGACCTGAGGAAGGAACGCTGCGGACGAAGGAACTGTGGTCCGCTTTGCCGTAAGCACGTAT